CTAAACCGTTTGGCAAACAATGTCATTTCCTTGTCATCGTCATCTTCATCCGAGTCACTCTCATCTTTTGTTGATTTGAGAGCAACTCCCATGTTCTTCTTCTTATCCACGTCATTCTTTGGCTCGTCTCTTTTCTTAAGGTCTTCCTCTTCTTTAAGCATCATTTCATGCGTGAGGAGAGAGACAATAAGTTCATCGAGGGTCAAGGATTTCAAGTTCTTAGCCTCGATGATCGCCGTCTTCTTTGATTGCCAAGCTTTTGGAAGAGAGTAAACTAACTTCCTTACAAGCTTGCCATTTGGAATGATTTCTCCATATGATTTGAGACTATTGACAATCGTGGAGAATCTATCCATCATAGCTTTGATATCTTCATCCGGTTTCATCCTGAAATTTTCATAACTATGAGTTAGAAGACTAATTTTAGATTGTTTTACCTCGTTTGTGCCTTCATGAGTGACTTGTAGTTTGTCCCATATCTCATTGGCGGTTGTGCAAGATGAAACTCTCCCATATTTATCCGGTCCAAGAGCACAAAAGATAATATGGATAGCTTTGGAGTTGAGTTGAAACATTCTTGTCTCTCCTTCACTCCACAATATCGGGTAAGTGGAGGGTTTGATGTATCCATCTTTTATGATATTTCATGCTCTCATGTCACTTGCTTGAATGAAATATATCATCATATTCTTCCAACAAGCATAATTAGCTCTATTGAAGAAATGAGGCTTGTTGACGGGCAATGAATCGAGACCGAAGTCGAAGTTTGAAGTGTCGGCCATTGATGACTTTGAAAATCGATGTAACTCTTCCCGAATCGACTCAAGAGGCGATTAAACCTTCAAATGAGTGAGGCTCTGATACCAATTGTTGAGTTAATTGATCGATGGAATAGGCCAAGAGGGGGTGAATTGGCAATTAAAAATTTGGTGGAAGCTTTTATAGAAAATTGAAAGTAATTTGCACAACGATTTATAGTGGTTCGACTTTCTCAACCAAAGTCTACGTCCACTACCTTAGCTATCCACACTAAGGATTTTCAAACAAATTCACTAATTTGTTCTTTCTTTTGAGGAAAAAGTGTAACCTTACAACTCCGTCAAGAATTATACCCCAATTCTTGAGCACACTCTCTTCCAAAGAGAAATACACAAATTTTGCAAACTTACACAAGAAAAACCTCACAAGGTAAGATGTTTGCACAATTATATAACAAGATAAGAACACTCAAAGATGATTACAAATGAGCACAAATTGTGTTCTTGAAAGCAAAAAGAATATTGAAAGGAAAATTGGCTTGAATTGCACAAACTTGGTGTTTGATGCTTTCTCTCTTGTTTCTCTATGACTTCTTTTTTATCAAAGGCTTCAGAACTTGCTTAAATACTCCTTCAATTGATTCTGAACGTTGGGGATGACTAGTGAAGTCAATGGAGCCGTTTAAGTATGAAAACAATTATTAAAACAGTTTGGAGCGTGGGGGGTATCGGTACCCCTTCATAGGGTATCGATACCTGTATTGTAAAATTTAAATATTTCTATCGTTATATGCCTTAGGGTATCGATACCATTGTATGGGGGTATCGATACCTATGGGGGGTATTGGTACCATTCGCGCATTCGGTTATTTCTCGGAACCAAAATGTTTACAGGGTATCGATACCCTATAGGGGGTATCGTACTAAATAATTTTTATTTTTGGCTCAAATATGGCTCGAAATACTTTGTAAAAATTGTTTCAAAAATATTTTAAGATTGAAACTTAATTTTACACTTGAGTAAGGATTGAAATATACTTTTGAAAAACTTGGAGTAATAATTTTCAAATTCGAATAATTTAATCGAATATATAATTCAATATAAAATCTTAAAATTAATTAACACTTAATTTGTTATATCGTAACATCAAAATATTTTCAACAAATAAGATAAAAGAATGGATTTCTTAAACTTTTTACTAGAGGTAGAAAGTATGATTATATATGTCTTTGATTCTATGTATTAGTGTGATATGAAGGAGAATTTATGTATGTCAGTAGGAAGCGTTAAGATTATAATAGGTTTATCTCATTACTCTGTCAACTTGTTTAACAATAAAGTAATTGTATCTATCAAATTGTCACATCTATCAACTGTTATATTGATGGTAAGTGATTGAAAGCATAGTAAATGATAAAAATGCGTCTTAAATTGTATTGGAGTTACTTGTTACCGATCATGCTTTTAATATAGAAGATTTGTTATTCTATAACAGTACTTTCAGAACAGAAACTATAATAGAAGTATTTTATTTTCAAGCCTATAACTTAACAATAAAATCCATCAATGTTATCTAATTGGACGGACTTATGAAGTTTCTTAAAGTATAAAGATCAAAATCTGGACATATTGAAAAAAGGGACTAAATCTTCAGTTATCCTTAAATAGAAGGATTGAATCCAAATTTAAGCCCAAAACAAAATTTGTTTAGAATTGTGCGATTCTTATGTAATTCCATGTTTATCTAAGGTCAACGGTTTTAACCAAGAAAACGGACGAATGCACATGTGATTTACGAGTAAAAATATTAGAACCAGCTAGACTGGTTATCGATAATCGATCCATTAATTTTGAGTTCATTTGAATTTCCCCCCTAATTTCCTCCTGTGTCTGGCAGTAGACACGACATTAAAATAATGTGTTCCCATTGCTAGATTTAAGGTTGCCCAATTCCCAACCACATAAAAGATATTGTAATATAATTAATTAATCTTCACTCTACAATCTACAATCTATATAGTGTGAATTAATCAGATATATCGTTTTCAAAATGGAGGTCCATAATATATATATGGCTTTCGCTGGCTCTTACATTCTCCCAGCTAAGCAATAGGTCATTGAATTGAGTTCATTGGCTCAGCTTACCTGTTCGAAAGGTTTTGAATAAAAAATTCTAATCGATTCGATTTTAAATTATATTTAATAATAAAATATTATATATTCAAATTTATTTTGAAAATATATAAATAGGAAGTACAAAATCTTTTATTATTTAATTAGTTTAAGTAGTTAAATAGTGGATTTTTTGACAAATTGATAATAATATTGTTACTATATAGATTTATTTCAGTATTTAAAATTTTAAACTAACAATTTAATACGATATAATGATAAAATTAATTTTTATTAATTTAATTTTTATCTTTGTTTTTTTAAATTAAAAATTCAATCTTCAATCTTTCTATTTATAGTTATATTGTTTTGACTTTAACAGAAATGATAATTTATTAATTTTTCATGACGTTGATATTACAATTTATATAACAATTGGGAGTTGTTATTTCGTGTACTGATAATGAAAAGAATACTTTGCAAACATATATATATATACATGAATATCATTTTTAAATTTTAAATTTTCGATTCTAAAATCATAACTATTAAACTCTAAACTTTAAATCATATAAACTTTAAACCCTAAATAAAACACATGAAAATATAAAAAAATTGTTAGTAAAATATTTTTTTTAACTGTTGAAACAATATCTCAACAATTAATACTATTTTATTGTTGACATCACCATTTTTCCTTAAAGATCATAGAATTATCTATGATGTAAAATATCATGTAATGCGGTATATATACCAAAGTTTATTATAATCTCATATATATAGTCATTGGACGCATAAGAATCAGAACCCTATATATATATATATATATAAATACATTTGTAAGGATTTAAGAGAATGGCAGTTGACATGCATCTGTCCAAATGAATATGCCTCTCTAACAAACCATTTATTATATTATTTTCTTTTTTTAATATTTTTTAATTCCTCCATTTGGTTAGGTTCATGCAATTAAAAGGAGAACGTGTATTGGGATAAATTCTTAGTTTACAACATTATTCGTGAGAAAGGATTTGGACATATCATAAATGGAAAGCTTCCTACAAAAAAAATTGCGTGTTGTTGCTCGAATATCGTTGGTGTCATTTAGAGACGGAATAAATATTAAATATTGAAAGGAGTAAATTATTTAAGCTTAAAGTTAGAAAGATTTATTAGTTATTTAATTTAAAACATGGGAGATGATAAAAATTTAATTTTATTTAAGTTTACAAACCTAAATTATTATTATACAAAAGATTTTGGGATGAATAAGAACCTTTTCTACTGTCTATGTTTCTTTTCGTTATTCATGGATAAAATGAGAATGAGACAGTCTTTTTAAAAAAATTAAGTCACTTAAATTTAAATTTAATAAAAACTTAAATAATATTTAATTAAAATTCGAGAGAACAATATTTAATCTAAAAAATACTTAAATTGGTAGGAACTAAAACAACTATTAGATAATAATGATAATTGGAGGCAACAACCCCTCCAATGTCCTTAAATATACTTCCGTCTCTATTAGTGTACATTCTCTCATGGATTAAGGTCATTCAGATTTAAAAATTATTCTGTAATCGAAAAAAAAATATTTAAAATTATTATATGAACCGTAATCTGAACTTTAAATTATTCTAATTTAATTTTTCAATAAACACATTAAAATTGAATAAATTATTTGACACGACTAACACTTTGGTCCAAAATAGAAGCCATAAATTTAGATTGTACTCTCCAAAAAATCAGGGGGTGTAAACAAATGTTCCCTTCCCTTACCATATGAAAACTCTTTGACTTTAGCCCCTTGATGTATACACTTCAAGGTATGATTATCAATTGCAACTTTTATTTTACAAAAATTATAAGTTATTCCCTCTACTTTAATTTGTTATAATTCAATCCTTATATTTTATAAATAACTAATGAATTAGTCTTATTAAGCAACATTGGCAAACATTATTGTTGTATCGCAAACATAAAAGATCAGTAATTAAGCAATTTATATGTAAATCACTCTTATTCTTGGAGTTTTTTCAACTTTTTTTAGGACAATCATTATTCATATTTCTATAAAAGGAAAGAAAATCTTGAAATTTGACCAATCGGTACAAACCATGCACTTTTACTATTTTTTGCCCTTTTCATAGAGGAAAATTATTTTATAAAAGGACCAGTTTGGTATAATACAAATTATAGAGTATATTTTTGGAAAAAAAGGGAAGGGCACACTATTTTTGTTTTGTTTCTAGTGATCCCATAGTAAAGGGACGAAAGCAGATATAATCTCGCTTTCCTGCAATTGGATTGAAATTTCTTCATAATACCAAGGCATTCCACCGTAGTTAAGAAACCACCCGTCGATTGTGTCCACGTACATGAACTCGTTCGCTGACTTAGCAGATTCATAGCTCTTCCCTAGACTCGGCAACTCCACTATCTGGCTCAGCTCTTCCGGTACCGACACGTCGTCCTCATTCGATGACGTGGAATCCTGTAACGATAACGATAACGATGAAGATGAAGATGAAATGACGTTGATATTGCTGTTGCTATTGTCACTGGTAGTATTATTACTTAAGAACTCCATTGAAGCAGCTTTGGCGGCGGCGGCTTGGACGTCTCCCGGCGAGCTAGAAGCTGGTCGGGGAAACGAATTGGCTAGTTCGGGGAAGTTGAGAATCGCAAAGTTTCCTTTTATACTCAGGGCTGCAACGTCGTGGGCGCGTGCCGCCATTTCGGGAGTCGAGAAAGTACCTAACCAGATCCGGTTCTTTTTACGGGGCTCTCGGATTTCGGATACCCATTTTCCCCACGCCCGCATTCGCACCCCACGGTAAACCGGATGTTTGCTATCACTACTACCCCTCTGCCTCTTCGAGTCCATACCCGATTCTCTTTTACCTCCATAAGAGCACGGTGAAGCTGGAGACAGAGCAGACGAGCTCGAGTTTAGTGAGTCACCCATTGCCTGGTTTCTGTTTCAGAGACCTATTCAACACAATAATGCTAACAACTATGCAAAGTAAGCAGTGAACTTTAAACTAGTTTATGAACAGAGAGACCAGTGAGAAAGTTAAAGGGTTTTTTATGTAGAGAGTAAGAGGAAAGGAGAGGTTTGATTTGAGGAGAAAGGAAGGACGGACGAGTCGGGGTTTTATGAAGGGAAAGGGAAGAAGAAAGATACAGAGATAATAAATTAATAATAGACGGAGTGAAAACGTGGTTATTTAAGTGATCACCACAGGCCACACTGATACACGCACCAACACCACCGATCTGGCCTTTCCTTATTTCTATTTATTATTATTATTGATGTTTTTACGTTACTTTTATAGAGGTTAATATTTGATATATTAATATTATATAATTTCATATGTTATTAATAAATTAAATGATGTTATATTATTATTTTTAAAAACAATAATATTTATTATTATCTAATTTGTGAATAATAAGTAAAATTATATATAATTAGTATATCAAGTATCCATTGGTTTATGTTTTTTAATTTATATGCTGTCATGTTCCCCACAAAGTGTTGAGTTTAATTTTGTTTAGATCTCTCATTTTAGATATAATTACTTCGTAGACCCTTATTAATTTTGAAACTAGACATTTTTTTAAAAGAAAACTAGACAAATAAAACATCGATTTATATTTTTAATTTAAATATTTAAAAAATAATTTTAACTTAAATAAATTAGAGGTTGATGCGTATAGGTTGCTAAATTACCCAACTAAATTGGTGTACTAGCATTAAGTTCTAGTTTTAGGCTGTGTTATGATTAGTAGGGATAGGCATGAGAATCGGATCCAACGGGTTTCGACCTGATATGATTCAATTGGGTCGGATTTAAAAAATGGTTCGGGTCAATTTTTTTAAAGATTGTGTTCGGACCGGATCGGGTTTAGGGTGAAAAATATCCAACCTACCCGACCAGAGAAAAAAATATACTTTTACCTTTATATTTAGGAATAATTTCAATAATGTCCCTCTATATATTATTATTTTTTCAATAAAACCCTATCTTTATTGATAAAAATAATATTTTTTAGTAAATATATTATTTCGGGTAGAGTCGGGTTTTATCTAAAAAATTCGGATCGGGTTCGAATTACGTGTAGAGTATATATTTTTCGGATCGGGTCAAGTTTACCGAAAACTCAATCCAACCCATTCCCATCCGTAAGATTGATTACTTCATATTATGATTTATTTTACCCAATTTTTCTTAGTATAATAAAATTCAATTCGTTCATAGATTTGGAATAGAGACAACTTAGTTTACTTGCCTTAGCTCTGCTCTATTTCAAGATTTTAAAATTATTATATTACCCTTATATATTAAAAGTAATATATATATATATGGGGAGTGTGTATATATATAAATGATGCACGAATTAAGTAACCACAATAATAAAAGTATTGTTGTTACTCTTTGAGATCTAATCAAGTAACCACAATAATAAAAGAATTGTAGTTACTCCTTGAGATCTCGGATTTGAGTACCGTGGATGTCAGGTGTGTGAGAGTTCATTGTCAAATGATTTAGAGTTATTTTTGAACAAAACTACTTTGTACTTACTCTAGAATAATAAAAAAACATTTATAAAAATGATTATGATATTTAAAATTTTAACATTCAAATAGAGATAAAATATAGATATGTATCACAAATAAATATGTGAAGTATATCATTTTTATGATTTATATTGTAATAAAGTATTTAAAGTATATCATCTTTTTAATTCAAATATTTAAAATATTTTTAGTCAAAATAAATATCTAAAATTACTTTTTGGTCAGAATAAGTACATAAAATATTTTTTGTCGAGATAAGTACCAAAAGTATTCAACTTTTTATCTAAATACCTAAATTGTTCTTTAAATAATGTCACGTGTAAACCTTTTCAGAACTTAAATAAAAGCGGTAGAATACTTTAAATACAATTTGTTTTAAATCATCAAAACCATTTTTTTCTTGAACAATTCTTATTTGAAAGAGAGGAGAGAGAATTTTGCTTATAATAAATATTAAATCTAATCTAATGAAGAAAAAATATGTCAACTGAGAATTTTTATCTACATATTCTAATTATTGACATCAAAACTAATATTTAATATTTAAAGCTCCTATTATATTGTAAGTCTATGACTAAAAATAAATAATAATGGCATTTGAATTCTCATTGAAGTTCATGTTGATTTTTCATTTCCCCCCGATTATAAAACAAAATGTCAGGAAATGGCTTTCCATTGTTATGGAACTTTTTGACCATTTGGTTTCCACACATTTGCAACACGTTTTTGTTCGACAAAATGGCTGGCTAATTTTTGCCAATACTCTGGTCTGGTTAGGACTGGATATGAAATTCGGACTCCATATGTATCAACTTAATAGAATTTTATACAATTTTTATTTTTTAAAAACTCCGAGTTCAGATTGAGTACGATTAATTTTTTCTAAATATATGATCAGATAGGATCGAATTCGAATTTAAAGTAAAATATCTTTTATTTGACCTAAAAATCATAGTATAATTATCCATTATTTATTCCGTGATAATTACCATAACATCTCTTTATTTTTTTTTCAATTATTTATCTATTTTAATATTTATATATATTTGTGTCAGGTTTGATTAAATGCGAGTTTTTATCTTAAAAATCTAGATGTGTTTCGAGTCAAGTCAAGCCTCTCAAAACCAAGATTAGAAGATAGGTGGTGGGGTATAATACTTGAGTCGATTTCAAATCGGTTAAAAATTCGACTCGATCTAACTCATGACCATTTATAAACATATTATTTGTTTTCTTTGGGTCAAGTATATCAATTTTGTGCCTAACATTTACATGTTTTCGTAATTTAGTATTTAATAATTGTATCAAATGTTATGTATAAATCATTTTAGTTTTCATAAATGCAGCTCCCAATGCAAAGGCAGGTACAATGGAGGCCAACATTACATGGGATAGCAAAGTGAATACTTCCGGAACTGCAATTTTCTGATGATATCAAATCAACTAATGGTGAATCTGAAACCTATTGTCTTGAGCTTAATGCTAATTGCATTAGGTTCATTTTTACATGTATTTAGGAAATGCTTAAAAAATCCTTCAGTCAAATATGTGAACAGAGTAGTTTCTTTTAGACGGTGTTACATTGTCTATTTGCTATCCATTCCGTCTTCATCTTTGACATATCTCTTCCAGAACCAATGGTCCTTCCAGAGAAGATAGACTTCCTCGATCGGAACTCGCTTTGTTTGTTTCCGGCAATAGGAAGAAAATGAAGCTGCTCATTATGAATATCAAGCCAGCGAATAGCAAGAAAATCCCATATTTGAGATGACAAAGTGACACCAAGAAGCATTGTGCTATCAAAGCTGTGAAGAGCAGGTTGACACATACCACCATGCTTTGCCCAGCGGATCTAGTCTCCAACGGGAACAGCTCGCTCGGAACTAGCCACCCCAGAGGACCCCAAGACCGGCCGTAAGCAAAGACGAATAAGCAGATGATTAACACAAGGAACCAACCAATGGCTTGTGGAAGCTCTTCCCCTTCTCCAAACTTAATTGCCAGAGTTACGGCCACAGCAATCTGTATCAGATGCTCAAATCATTAAATCCAGAAACATAACAATGGTGCCTGCAAATCAGTTAAAAAGTGTGTGCATAACTTACCATGTAGCAGAACATCTCGGTTCCGGCTTCCAAAAAGAATGCTCTTCGACCAAATCTGTCCACCAAAGCCATCGAAACGAGTGTGGCAACGACAAGCATTCCACTTGTTAATACAGAGGATATTAGTGATGCCCCAGAGCCGAAACCCAAGGTCTGAAACATGACAGGAGGATAGAAGAGGATTGAGTTCATGCCGGTGAGTTGCTGGAAAGCCGGGATTCCTATAGCCCCTAATACCAACTGGGGCCGATTCTTCCTCTTCAAAAGGTTCCTGAATGGATGCTTTATCTCCCGAGCTGCTTCACTGGCCTCGATAAGATCGGCAAATTCGGCTTCGACATTTGGGGTACCCCGACTTTTATCAACACCCTTTTTGCTTCTTCGAGCTTTCCTTGTTCTACGAGACTGTTAGGGGTCTCCGGTAACGCCAGGCCGCCGACAATCTCCAACCCCATGGATGGATCTTGTCTGTTTTGTAGTTGATGAGGTTTGCTATAGGGATTCCCATGCAGGTTGTGAATTGGAAAAGCTGGTTAACAGCTCCTCGATGCTTAGCCGGAGCCATCTCGGAAAGGTACAATGGAACGGCCTGCACCATAAGAAAAAGAGTTAGCGACTCGAAAAAAGAAAGACCATAACATTTTCAGGGTCGAGGAGGTTTCATCTTTACTTGATTTCCGAACCCAATGCCGGCACCCAGAAGAATCCGTCCGATGATCAACATTCCTATATTCATTGCAGCTGCATTGATAACTCCTCCAAGGAAGAAGCTGACTGCACCGACGAGAATGCTAGCTCGACGTCCTTTCTGCCTCGTTACATAGGAAGCTCCGAACGTCGAAACGAGGCCGGCGAAGTACAACGAAGACGTAAAAAGCGTGAGGAACTGGTTGTCGTATTTGCAGTAGTCAGTTTCATGGAGATGTTCTTGCTTCCTTTTATATATCTTTGGGAAAAAGTCCTTCAAGAAATCATCCATGGAAGTCACTCCACCTGCAACCAAAATTAAAGGTAAGCTGTATCATCATCTTCTAATATACAAAATTTTCTCGGGAAAATTTTCTTTCCAAGATGTTAAAAGGCTTCATGAACATCTTCAGTAAATCTGGAAGATATGATACAAATCTAAAAAGATTTCAGCATTCGTAAACAATCAATAAATGCTCATAAACAAGAGATACAACAGGCTGGAAAAAAAACAATGAATCAAAAGGAAAACAACAGTGAATCATTTGGCAAAAAGTAAAGAAAAAAATCTCACCAGAAACACCAAGATCA